ATAATGAAATATATGAGAATGAGTCATGGAAGCACCTTTTTGTTACTTGAGTCTTTTGTGTCACATACATCACATTTTATATGTGATTTTAAATGTAATAAATAATATGATTGGCCTTTTATAGTCAAAGCTAATCCAAAAGTGATTGGAATACTATTAGTTATTATTGAAACTAAGTTTTCCATTGTCACAATGGTATTTTCTTTGAAGAGGAAATAATGAAATATATGAGAATGAGTCATGGAAGCACCTACCTTTTTTTGTTACTTGAGTCTTTTGTGTCACATACATCACATTTTATATGTGAAATAAAATGGAACTAGAAATAAAACAAATCTGAACTTTCTGAGTTAGGAAGGTTTGCCTTTTTCACATTAATAATTCAGTTTTTCTCTTTTAATTTTTGACTGAGGGTATATAAAATTACAGATAAAGTTGATTATGATATAGTATTCAGGATACATTATAGAAATTATAGGCTGTAAATAGTATCAGATTTCATCAACGTAGTACACTGTTTTAGTAGTTTAGAATTTGTTGTCCTGGAGGTGATGTCTTGCAGATGCTATGTAAATTATTTCATAGTAGACTAACACTCAGAATGTCCTTATAGAATGTATACATAAAAATTTATGCCTTCCTTCAAAAGGTTTAAAGTCTTTCTTATGTATACTTTATTATGATTTTTTTAAAAATCATTTATCTTCAAGTTATTTTGCCTAGTTCCCTTATAGAAAAATAAAAGCAAAAAGATGTTATATGACTTACCTAAGATCAGTAATGAATCAAGGGTTTCAGATTTTCAAACAGTTGAAACAGATACTATTACCCTTTACTGGTACAATTCTTTTAGAAATTTGTGTGTGTGTGTGTGTGTGTGTGTGTGTTAACACTTGTTTTATTCATGCCTTTTGACCCAGTAATTCCCTCTAATAAGAAATGAATGTTGTTTCTAAAAGTGTAGGATCTGTAGACCACCCATACGAGTAAAATCAAGGGTGTGTCTTTAAAAAACTCTCAGATTTCTAGGATATATCCCAAAGACTAATGAAGTGTAATCTCCAGGAAAGGGCCTTGGAATTTGTAGTTTAAACAAGTGCTCTGTGGTGATTCATATGTATACTACTGTTTAAAAATCATTTGGTTAAATAATAGTACATGTCCCTGAATTTGTCTTTAGAAAAAAAATTAACTTTGCCTTTTATGTTTCTGTAATGTTAATTTGATAATTTATTTTCATCTCAAGTTATATAGATTTAAATAAAGAAATGTTAGCTGACTGTATCAGGTTGTACATATAATTGAGAAACAATATATTAATATGTTTTGGTTGGAAGAGCTGATGAATGTCAATGCAAGGTGAAACAAATAAGTGGAAGAACACAGAATTAAATTCTAAATGTTATTTTGCTAAAGTTTTTGATCAAGAAGGCTTTATGAAAGTTTCACGGTTTTTATTTTTTAGAGATCTTAGAAAATTCAAAGATGCCAAGAAGCAATTTGAAAAAGTCAGTGAAGAAAAAGAAAATGCATTAGTAAAAAATGCCCAAGTACAAAGAAACAAACAGCATGAAGTTGAAGAAGCCACAAACATTCTGACAGCAACAAGAAAATGTTTTCGACATATAGCCCTTGACTATGTACTTCAGGTATATATTTTATTAGTATATATGTTTTCAAACAATGATTACTAGGCCAGGTGTGGTGGCTCATGCCTGTAATCCTTGTACTTTGGGAGGCCAAGGTGGGAGGATTGCTTGAGTCCAAGAGTTCAAGACTAGCCTGGGCAACGTAGCAAGACACCGTCTCTATAAAAAATAGAAAAATTATTCAGGTGTGGTAGCACATGCCTGTAGTCCCAGCTACTTAGGAGGCTGAAGCAGGAGCATCGCTTGAGTCTAGGAGTTTGAGGTTACGGTGAGCTATGATGATGCCACTGCACTGTAGCTCAGGCAATAGAGTGAGACCTTGTCCCAAAAAACAAAACAAAACAAAAAATAAAACCAATGCTTACTAAACAGGTTATTACTTTTGAATGATTGCATCAAAAAAAAAATACTTCTTTGAATTTAAAATGAAAACATGATCTTTTATGGAAAAATCTCATCTGTGTATATATGTGTGTGTGTATCCACATGTGTGGATATGCATACCTTTGGTTGTAAGTTCTTCCTCTTTTCACTTAACATTATGATTTCTATCCACTTATAAATGTTTTAAAAAGTGCTAAACTTTATTCTATGGAGTTGTTATGTCAATTTAATTGATACTTGATTATAAGACATTTATGGTGTT